ATCACATATTTACAATTCGCCGCCGTGTTACTGTAGTAGTAATGCAGTATTTCATGATTAGTTTTGACGAGTGCCTAGACTCTCTAGTATCTATACCTTGTGTTAGTATTAGTTAGTAAATCGTAATTGTTGACTTTTGTACATAGTAAATTAACATAATAGATTATTTAAACTTATAATAGATAGACTGCCGTAAAAATGAAAAGAATAAGGCTTAGCAATTATCAGAAGAAAAAAATAGACAAAAGTTAAAATAAGAAGAAAAAATTATAGTGCAAACATTATAATTGGTCATTTTTTAAAAAGGTAGGTAACCGTCTTTTATTATATATAATTATATGAAGTAAGGCTTTGTACATACTTTGATGTTACGTATATACGAATGCAGTTATTGATGAATTTAAATATTTTTTATTTTTATTTAATTCGATACTTTGTTCTGAGGTCGAAATTGTATATTCTTTGTTTTTAGGATTCACATTCAATTGTTAAATATAACTAAATTCTATAAGAACTCAACAATGATGAATACTATTCTAGACATTGTTCTAGTAATTCTAATAAACCAGTAATTGATTCATCAAGTAAAACTATAATAATCTTGAAAATAAAAATGATAAAGTTTTATCGATATAAACTTAAGACTTGTTGCGCTCTCATGAAAAATATGTTTCCATATATCAAGACAATTTCCTGGCTCAGATTGATCAGAATTGAATTTAAATTCTGATACAATTGAGTACCTATTCGTTAAAATTTTTTTTTTTTTAATTTGATTGATATTAATTTGAAAATTACAGAACGTTTATACGACAAAAATATTAGAAAACTTCCGTCTGATATATTTGAAGGGCAATTCCCCATTGGCGAACGCAAAAAAATTTAATTGATTTCTCTAATAAAATCAAAAAATGCACTTTACTGTTTGCAATATTACTACATTTTTGTTTCTAATAAACAAGCATTAGTAATCCTAATGTTGGATTTACAAATTGTCAAAAATACCATCATTTAGTTGCTGAACATGAGAAAAGTATAGTTCATAATACAAATGTCCATGAATGATTTTTAAGAACATCTAAAGATAGAGAGGTTATTGATCATTAATTTCAAGAAGAAATGTAACCTCAAATTTACTATTGGAAAATTGTATTATATCGTATAGTGGYTATAATATCATTTCTTTCAGAAAGATGGATAATTTTATAGGAGATGATCAAAAGTTTAGTTCTTAAAATAATGGCAATTATTTAAGATGCCTAGATTAACTATAATATCAATATTGTAAATCTATATAATATTATAATTATTCAACTTATTATAATGTTTACTTGTGTTATATTTTCAATTTGAGTTAAATACTTAAAAAAAAATTGTTTATATAGGTGTATTTATAAATATATAAATAAGTTATACAACTCAATACATTTTTTCTGGTTATKTTTACTTTATGGCAATATTGGACCTTAAACCAGCTCTGCAACTCGTATTTGGGAAACTATTAATTGATTATACTATTAATTCTTCTTCCGTACAGAAAAAACTCATAATATGACAATTGATATACACAATATGTATATTCATTAAATGATATGAGATATTCATGCTCAAGTGTATAATAGCTATAGTGTAAACACATATTTGAGATATTATTATATAATCTGTAAACTTACTAAAATTTGGTGTGAGAACACTGAACAAGTACAAAAGGCTTATACATTTAAAAGTTATTCGTAAACGACAATAAAATATATAGTGATTTAGACTGTTGCAATATATTAATATGACAAAATAAAAAAATTTAGATGAATTTTATTTAATACTGTTATTATTGTCTACTTGACTTATTCGGATTCCTAGAGTTATCGATAGTGAAATTATTACACCTATAAGTAGATAACATTTTTTTGTTAGATACCCATTAGAATACTGTAGATTATATATAATACAGCAATAAAATGCTGTTCAGGTAATCACGTGGAATTATTGAAATATCTTGAAATTATATTACTATCGCACCTTGATTTGTATCGTACCATTCGTACCTAATTAACATCTATTAAATAAATCCTAAAATTGAAAATATTTTTGTACAAATACAGACTCCCGTAGTCCCGTGACCAATTAAAACGCGCGTCAACAGCTTGCAATCTAAAGTTATGACAATTGATTGTTATTAATACTAATGATTGTGTTAGTATCATACACTGATGGATGTTGGCCGACAATACATTATATATGGCCATTGAATAGTATGGCAATTAATTAGTCGTGATCGTTTAATAGGACGTCTGAAATAATTATCATCCGGACATTCAAAGAAATAACTTCAATCACAAACACTGTCGTTGATACATCCACCACCTAACCGTCAATAGGTGGTGTTTTTTTATATTTTATACACTGGTGCATGTCGGTTATTCAATTTTAAAATGAACAAAAACAAATCAAAGGGTAATTACGATTTTCTATAGCTTTAAAGAAATTGAAATTTAGTGGAGTAATATATAAAAGAAATGTGGGAATTATATTATGTTTATTTTAGACGTCGAGGATTCCACTTGCTTTGTTGCTCAATCACCTGTGCACTTAGACGATGCTATCGAAATGATTGGTAAGTGAATTGAAACTATAGTACCTATATTATTTACTTTTAAAGTTATTCAAATTGCCAGTTCATCATATACGTTTATACAGATGCATAGGCGGTATACATTTTTTAATTAATCGAAATCTTAACGAAATTTATGTTAAAAATATAAAGTTAAATACGAGACACGTAGCATA